TTTATAGGCTTCTTTCCATACATTTTCATCAGCGTATATGCCAAGTCATTAATTAAATAATGAAAAACTATGAATACATATTTTAAGACCTCCTTCTAACGCTGATTGGTTTGAAACGAAAAATCACGCCATAATGCTGTTAGTTTGTAGGAAGTATACAATTTTTGACAATCCTTCTTTAAAACGTGTTTACAAATTGTAGTTCACTAAAAAATCACGCCACGCTCTACAGTTCAACGCTTTAAATTTGTCAAACTCTTTAAATGGACACAGAGGCTGAATTTCGACACGTTGATATTCCAAATACTTTAGAGACTATGGCAAACTCAGCAACTATCTTTCGAAATTTTCAGAAACAATTTTCTTCTCAGCAACATCTCAAACTTTTTACCGATTAAATTCATTTTAAAAATTGATAAATCAGTTTCAAACAAAAAAAACTGGAAGTACGAAAGGACGATCAGCCATTGATAACTCATTCAAAACTCGATAAAACACTGTAAAACATTGTATAAGTCTATAAAACACTGTAAAATAGAGTTATACAGAGTTCTATAGGATTTATCGAGTTTGTTAGAGCGAGTTTGTTCGTCAGCAACTGTAAATATCAAACTTTTGAGAAACAATGTCATATTCGACAACTATATTTCAAGCAGAGTGAGTTCTTCAGAGTTGTATTGAGTATTATAAATTTTTAAAGAGTTTAATATTTTTTAAACATTCCAGAAACAATTTTATCTTCAACATTATACAAAACACTTCAGAAACTAACTTTGAAACCAGGGCTTTGGAGCGGAGCTGGAGCTGGAGCGAGGAGCAATCGGAGCAACCATATTCTGGTCGGAGCGTGAGCGGAGCCGGAGCACACAAATTTTAAGTGCTCCATGCTCCAATAATAAAAAAAAATATTTAGTTAAAAAATAAAAAAAATATTATTTTTTAATATTTTGTATCTTTTAGTTCAACTCAAAAAATTTTTTTTGTTATGATATTTAGAATCTTTCATAGCAAAGCAATGGCTTCCTTTTATACGCCATTTGTAAACACTAGTTGACTTTTTCACTAATCTTTTTTTCTGCAATCGTAAATTCGTAATCGCACATCAAAAGTAAGATTCTTATGAGAATTTTTTAAATAATATAATTTTTAATTTAAAAAGCAATACATTACTTCTTAACAAAATTTAAATTTTTAATTAAAATTAAATTAGGTCCGGATATGACTTCTAACCAAAATTTGTGTCAATCACCTATAATCGATAGTCGCTTTTTGAAAAATGATCTGGAAAATATATTTGAGTTTGAAGAAGAAAATGGACAAAAAAGTCAGCTGATGTAAGCTAAAAAATAATGATGTGCAATGCAATTTTCAGGCAATGGGAACAAGTGTGTCAAAAAAGTTTAATCTTTGGCGTCATGTGAAACGTAATCATCCTAAAATCTATGATGAGTTAGTAAAACAAAAAGATGAAAACGATAAAGCTGCCTCAGATAAAAAACGTGGTAATGAAAATGATGCCACGCCATCTAAAAAAAAAATAAAAACTGTACAAGAAAACATGAGCACATATTTTACATCATCAAAAGTTACAATCACTATGGATGCAAGTACTTTTCAAGAAGGACTTGTTGAGATGATTTGTTTGAGTATGGTTCCATTTACTTCATTTACATTAAAAAACAAAGGATTTCAAAAAATTGTTGGTGAAATGGCAAAAAAACTCGGTGTATCAATGGGGCATGATGCAGTTCGACATTTGGTAATAACCACAGCAGATTCTTCTCGCATGAAACTGAGGCAAACTTTGAGGGAACAGTTATGTTATTTGAAGCTAGATGCAGCAACTCGTGGTAATAAAAACTATCTTGCCATTAATTTACAATTTTATAATGAAACAAGTAATAAGTCTGAAATAAAAACCCTAGATATAGTTGACACTGAAGGAAATCATAACTCTTTGTATGTAAAAAATCAAATTAAAGAAACCTTAAAAAAATTTGATATTGAAGAAAAACAAATACTTAGTATTTGTGTAGATAATGCAGCAAACATGACATCTGCTGTAAATAAACTTGGAATTCGTGAAAGCATCACTCAAGGTGAAGGTAATGAAGAACCTGAGGATATTGATGAGAACAGTGCAAACATTTTGCAACAGTGGGTCAATGATCCTTCTGAAATATTACCACAGTGGGTTAATGAAGACACAAACATTCAATTAATGAGGTGTGGGATTCATACTCTTCAACTGGCCATTTGGGATGGATTAAAAAATGAACGAGTAACAAAAATTCTAGGAAGAATTAGGCAAGTTGTAGTAAAATTACGAACACCAACAATCCGTAGTATTTTATTGAAAATGTATGGAAAAACACAATCTTTAGATACAGTAACAAGATGGGGTTCAACATATGCAATGCTTGATCGTCTTCTGTTTTCAAAGACTATG